TACTTTTGGTAATATAGTGTAGGTGTTTGATGTGCCTCCTATTCCAATGGTTCCGATAAACCACTGTTCCAGCAAGTAAGTTTGCTTAGGCCCTTCCACCTTTGCTGTGAGACCCACTATCCTGATATTGTTTCTCCGAAACCTGTACTTAGTGTGTTTGTTTATTTGTGAGGTGGATTTGTGAGGTGGATTTTGTCTCTCTGACTACCAAGGGCATCTTATCTTAGTCACTCAGCCTGCTTTCCACTGCAGTCATTCTTTATCGGATCTTTTGTAGACCTTTTGTCAGATCAGGGATACATCATCTTTCAGGTGGTCTTTAATGATGTCAGCCAAGGCCATACATTTGTTAATTGGCTGTAGGATCTCTTTCAATGTAGGTTGCACTCTATCATCTAGGATCTCATTATCTGGCTCCGAGTGCTGTGATGAGTCTACTGGGGTTCAAACAGTGATCATATCGGCATCACAGGTGCTTACTGCATTCCCAACCAGCGCCTCCTTTGTCTCTGACTAATCAGTCTGCAGTTCAGATTGAGAGCTGGTATATTTTTTTTAGGGAAATAAAGCATATCATGAGCAGTGTATGTTCCTGGCGTGCAGGCATATTTGCACCGCTTAGCTGATGCATCTTTGGTCTTATTTGAGTGCTCCAGCAGCTGGTGCAGGCCTGTGGAGGCACTAACTTGGCTCCTCCAGGCCTGTGGTTTGTTCTCTGGTCTGTTGGGGTCATAGCTGCCTTGTAAGTAAATCAAACTTGCATAGGGGAGGTTAGTGATGTATGCAGGTGTGATTTGTCATGTGCAGCGGGTAAGTACACACAGGGCCAGATTTCCCACAATGCCAACCAAGGCCAGGCTTTAGGGCGGCAGGGATTTCAATTGCTCGACGCCCAGGACATGAAGTGTGGGTGGGTGGTAGTAGTTTTCTACATTTTAGCCCACGCTTCAGGCAAGCAGGGCTAAATGTACAGCAGGAAAGTTGCTTGCTCATTTACAGCAGGAAAGTTGCTTGCTCATTTACAAGTGACCTCAGCGGTCTCTCAGATCACTTGTATGCAGTCTGCTCTGCTCCCCCTCTCTTCAGGATGGAGAGTAGGGAGCAGAGCAGAGAATGTCTGTTCTCCGCTGTGCTCCGTGTGAACACTGGGACAGGAGAGCTGCACTCACAACCTTCCCCTCTCAGCTGCCACAGGACTTTGCTAGAACTCCTGTATTGGAGGTGACAGCATTTGGAGGTGACAGGTTCTGTTTATTGTACCTATCACACAAGGAACTTGTTAGCTCCTGTGTGATAATATTAAAATAAAGTAATATACGAGATTTATATAGTGCCAAAATAGTTTGTCCATCATTTTATAAATTAAAGGGAGACGGTACAGTTACCAAAAAAACAGGGTTAGCCATGTTTGTGAGAGAAGGAACAAAACAGAGTGCCCCCATAGTGCTAAAATGTTATTTAATAGTAAAAACACGCAGCTCTGAGGCTGTACTTACAACAGTTCGGTAGAATAAAAACCAGTAGAATAAAGGTGAGAGGACGGAACCCCTGGCAGGGAGAATCTGGAGCGATGTAAAACACCAGTAACCTCGATCCCTATATTGATAAATGGTTTACGTGTTTCGGGGGCATGCCCCCTTCATCAGAACCCTGATTCTGATGCAATTAAAACCCCAACTACAGGAATTTTTTTATTTTAAACTACCCTTGCAGTGGGGTCCAGTACTGCAAGGGTTAAAGGAATGAAGTGTAATAGCTACCTTACTCCCTACTGCAGCAAGCTCCCTCCATCTGTGCAACTGGTGCCTCAAAATCTACTCTCGAAGACGATCCGGGCAGCAGTCGCATGCTGCCGTCATCACGTACAATGCAGGGTCAATAACCTCGTACAGTACAAGAGAATAGCGAGGATCTGGAAGGAAAAGGAAGTGTTGCAGACCTTAGCAAACTCATTGTATTCCTATAAGAAACACTTCTTGGCAGGCTTCTTCAGTGATGCAACTCGGAGAAATGTGCAGGTAAATTTGGTATTTCAAGTTTGCATACACAACATTCCTGTTTCGTTTTTTCCCCCCGCAAACCTTGTGATATATAGAAGTCAAAGATATTAACCTGGCCAGTAAAACTCTGAAACAAGATCCAAACAACCTCTTTGTTGATGTATGCCTTTTAAGAGCTATGATAGCAAGTTAGAATCTAAACAGATTTTGTTGAGGCAGGTCCAAGCAGAGAGCAGACTCACAAACATATTGTTCAGCTGAGGAAACCACAGCCTGGCCTCTTGGGTCATCATTATGTAATCATGTTCACTCTAGTGCATTCCTCCTTGAAGCATTTCACAAAAGGTAGAGGTACAATCAGGCATACCAAATGAATATTTCAAGCCAGAGAACAGACATCTGCCCTAAGCTTTGGCTCTTCTGGACCTAATACAAGGGAAAAGAAGCATTGCTCAGGAATGTCATGTCATTCGGTAGATTTGGGGAACTGTCTTCTTGGAGGTTATCAAAAGCCAACTTTTTTTTTGGAAGTTTTGTATGAAGTAGGTAATGGTTAAAACCAGACAAGATATTATTCCTACTTGCTCGGGAGATTTATATTCTCCCTTTGTCCTAATGGAAAATGCACAATTTTACAGTTGTCACCAGAAAGTGATGAGAAATGTTTCAGTGGCAACCAAGAGGGGATTTTCTCTCACCTTCTGCCATCTCTCCCCATGTAATAGAGACAGGAAAAGAAAAAAGAAAAAATACAGGATGTACAACATGCACCTACATACCGTGACAGACGCCCAACAAATAAATTCTATTGATCTTTATAAATAAAATACCTTATTGGACTATCAGCAATAGCACCTACTTTTGATATATTTGGTTCTACTTGAGACCCCCTATTCTGATCGGGGTCCTTCTCTTTGTGTAGGAGTAGCCCCTCCAAGATCATTTGACACCACAAAGACATATCAGAGGTTAAGGGTATACCCAACTAAATGGGTACACGAGATAGTGATAAAAACCCGAGTACATCCAATATCGCAGCCAAAAAGGTATAAATGCCTTGTTGGAATCTTATGCATATGGGGGGGACCTCATTAGTAATGGCACCACTCCAGAGTTGGAAGGGAAGTCTACAATTAACATTTATTTATCCTCCAATTGTTTTCTGGGGGCCTATGGCATTACCTAAATGCTGCACAGTTCACAAGGAAAATTGCTTTTCTACCAGGAATAGGACGTATCCTCAAATCAACAAAAAGGTCTGGATACAACATGGTAGTACAATTTAGTGATGGAGCAATGAATGCCATTTTGTTCTTGTTTGTGTATTAAATATATGCAAAGTGTAAATACAAAATTTAGATTCTAAGGAGTACATGGAACTGCATGCAGAAAGTAAGCATGCATTATAAAAGGAACATTTGGAAACGGTAATTGTTCCTAAGCAGTTCCTGTGAAATGTTTTTTCTTACAGTGCTCCTGGTTTGTGAGGATGCCTAGGCATTGCTGAGTTTATAGGTCAGAGGTGCGGGATTCCTATCGCCCGATGCCCAGGACATGCCGGTCCAGGCAGATTGTGTTTGTTTTCTACATTTAGCCCTGCTGCAGGCAAGTAGTGCTAAGGTAGAGCAGGTGAGCTCCCGCTCATTTAGAATAAGTGATCTGGACAGCTGTACAGCCACACAGATCACTTGCAGAAGCCTGCTTGTTCTTCCACACCTTGGTTTTTGGGGTCCCCCGCTTTTCTGGGAGACCACACCCAATGGCTTGTATTGGAGGGTAGGCTCGATCTGCTATAACATAGGGGCTTATTAGTCCCTGTGTGATGGCCAAAAAGTTGTCAAAAAACAACACATGAACAAACATAAAACCAACCCCACTGGCACCTCCTAGGGCATAGGATGTGTGCGCACTGTGTGCCATATTATGTTAGCTAGGCAACAGCGCTCTCGAACACACACTGCGCATTGAAAGGGCATTGAACGGGACACCACACACCGGGGCCAATGCCAGGGGAAAAAAAAGCGATAAACTGATAATGTTCCTCCCCACTGCTTTATGCAGAAACCTTCTGGTGACCTTGGAAGATAGAGACATGGAGATACTCGTCCTTGATACCCATTAAGGCCATAAAATCCCCTTGGTAAAGAGCAGCCACCACCGGTTGGATGATCCCATCAATAACTTGCAATGCTTTATGAAGGCATTGAATGCCTAGTGATCTAGAATAAGTCAAACCCATCCTACTTGGGAACCATGGACAGGTTTGAATAGGATCTCCTGAACCTTTGAGGAGGGAACTGGAATGACCACCACTTGAGCCAAGTCTCGACGGGCAGATGCAAGTCCACCACCCTTTGAAGGTGTGAGATGGAGTTAGGAAGTGAAAAACTAATCTGGGGAAGAGACAAATTCTATTTTGTATGTGGAAGCTTTGGCAAACGAGTTGGGACAGAACACATTTCATGGCTCATTAATGCACACATGTCCACGTGTTAATTTGCTAATGTTCCCCTAAAAACTTCTTTATCCAAAATAAAAGGGAGTGTCAGGAGTTGGGCTTTAACCTCCAACGTTGCATGTAATTAAAAAATAACTTAAAAAGGAAGTGCTAGTCCACACCACATTCGTTAGCATGAACACAACACACTGGTATGCAATTTTTTTTTGGCACTGTAATTCTTTACCCTTATGCACTGCACCACATTGCAATACACGGTGTAAAAATGCAACATGTCTTTTACAGGGTACACCAATGCAGCACATTGGTGTAAACTGAAATAGGAAGTTAGGCCATTTGTTAGGACTGTGTTGAGCAATGCAGTAGAATGTTGCTGCTGTGAATGAGCCCTACAGCCATTGTTGACCATACCCCACACCAAAAGCACACTGAGCAGTGTCTATGATTTCTTGAACCTGAAATCACTTAAGTGATTATGATCTTGTGTACAGTACTATACTTTTAAAAAAACACCACAATAATATTGTACAAGTTTATTGTTCAAATGTATTGTTCACATGATTGGTTCACATGATTGGTCCACAGTTCAGATTCTGACAGCAAAATATAGTCTCCTTCCACAGGTGCACGCCAGAACACCTTCTGGTTTGCTCCCCCTCACGGTTTTGAAGCATACCATCATTCTGTGAATTGAAGACTCATCGACTGTCAGTTACTGTGTGCATGGAGCATCCTAAAGATATTTGGGTAAATCCTTCTCTATGACCTGGAAGTGGAAGGAAAAAAAAAAAGTGGAATGTAATGAAATAACCCACAAGTAAAACATAATACACAAGACTATTAAAGCAGGCTTACACTGATATCACACACACCCGAACTCTGCTCCCTTAAAGTTCTTCCTCCAAGAGTATGGGCATACTACATATGCAATGCAGTACAATTGGGGCATATTTATTTCTATGCATTGTGGTAATGTGCACTGGAATCCACATTCCAACACGTCACCGCAACACATGCTGTATGGGTGTGTTGCCATTTAATTTAAATTGCACTCCGGCATGCATACAGTAAGAAAAAGGCAACTGCCCCATAGCAAAGCACATACGTGAGTGTTGTGTGTAATGGTGCGCTGTGCTGGCAAAGTCTTCACAAACCGTGTTTTGTGAACAGCCATGCATAGATGGGGCTGAGACAAAATTGCCAGGGCTGAGGTCAATGGGCAGCCAGAAGTACAGTGGGAGCTGCAATGATCTAATAATAATTGAGAATGACCATGTAACGGACAGATTGTGCTGGGATGCTCAGTGGCAATTTTAGCACTGCGAAACTGGGTCAAGTACCCTTGGTCCTAGTTGAGGTGCCCCACCAAACTGCTGGCCTGCACTGCATCTCCTTCTGCCCACCATACTACCAGTAGGTATACAGACTGTCAAGAATACCCTGGCCTGGACACTTGTGTGCCATATGGCTCAATCCCCAGCCTTACCACAGCTGCATGTACTCCTGCAATCCTAAGGAACTGGGGAAGATGTGTCTAGCAGTAGTCTGGAGGGGGGCATGTCTGGACAGGTGTAAGAAGGGGGTTAAGTGGTAACATGCAGGAATTACAACAGAGCTTTGTCAGGTGATCACTACTAGATGTTAGTGATGGCCCATCACGAAGGGATTAGATTCCAGTAGTTTTCTTATAACGGAAGGTGTACACTTTAGCATATCATGTGTGCACGAGATTTTAAGGCCACTAAAGATCTAAAAATAGAAAGATTAAATCAATGTCCTGGCAAGGGTGACAAAGAATGGCCAAAGGTAGGTTTACATTACTTACAGCAACCCTCTTTGCCAATGTTTACAGAACCCACTGGTAAATATGAACTATACAACTTTTAAAACTCACTGGAGCATGGTCATTAGGCAAGCAAAGCACCACACTGTCCAAGACCCAGTTATTTACCAATTGGGTCTTTTACATAGCATAAATGTGAAGCCAGGCTGTCAATCACAGGCAGCACATATTGTTTTTGGAAACAGCACTGGTAGGTTGTTGATGGGTTTATAAGCTTTACATGCAAATTACTAGCCAATTGCTGGATTGTGCATTTCATATCACAACTACTTACAACTGGATCTTCCATGGGGCTAAATCTTTTTACAATCAACCCCTCACGGTCAATGAGAAACTGCAAAAAACAGAATAATATTACCAAGAGGAAAAACGTGGAGTCAAGGAGAAACGTAGCCTACCTACGTACTTACCTTTGTGAAATTCCATTTAATTGCACTATGGATAGGAAGAAAAGAAATACATATATGTGAAAATCAAATAGTCAAAAAGCACCTCATCCTTGTGGGATAGAATACCTGAAAACCACATCCCACCTTCAAATATAACAAAGTTACTGACCAATAAGGTAATAAAATACGCAAGCTTTCATGAGCCCTTATGTTTTTCCTAAGCATTCTGGGTACTATTTCTCTGGTGTTATACAATTCAACTAGTCCCTAATGCCTTCATTTTTAATATATAAATAACTTTTCACATAGCTAAAACTTTTCTGCATTAACCAATGGCAAACAAGGTACAGGACTATTACTGCTATCCGATAACTAGAACACAAAAATTAAAAGTAACACTAAACTCAGAAGTTAAATCTTAAAAATGCATTCAAGTACCTTAACTATTAACAAAAGTGTATCACTCGGCTATAGATCCTCAAATCATCTCAAGGGGTGCAGACACTGTCCTTCCTTCTGGAGGGGGGCTACTTTTGTTCCCCATGGTCCCTGTGTGTGTTTAAAAGTAAGCATTGCTCCAAGATTGCTCCTGTGATGGGACTACAATCTCATGTATAGTTTACTAATCTGTATTGTTATGCACACAGAAACAGGGTGCATAACAAGCCATGGCAGATCATGACTAAAGGCAATACTGATGACTAGTCCTTTGCCCTCTGCTAGATTTCTCAGCACCGACTTCAAAGCTTAGTTCCTCTTTCATATCTGCCTCCACACATGAAAGTGTCTGTATGGAGTATTATATTAAGAGAACTATGGGGTTAAGGCTTTTCCCCATAGTTCTCCTTAGGGTAACGGGAGGACACAAACTAGCTTCCTCCCGTCACCCTAGGCTCAGTATACCGCAAGCTGAAGCGGATCCCGACAATTATGTAAAGATCCGCCCAGCTGCGTGAGTGACAGCTTACTCTGCCTATCTAGAGGCAGCTGTACCCGCCCCCTCCCCCAGTCAGCACTGGTGGATCTGGTGGAAATCCAGCCCCTCCCCTGTCACGGCAGAGAGCTGTGACAGGATCGAGAGGTGAGTGAACACCGGTATGTGTTCGCTCACTTCTCGATCTACTGAGCCGACCTGTGACAGTCTTATTGTCACAGGTCAGCTAGAACTATGAGGTGAGTGAAAAGCACTCACCTCATAGTTCTACTTTAAGTGTTTAAAAGGACTTTATGAACCCCTCCCGCCCCCCTTTTCTTCTTTGTCTGCCAGCCAAGAACAAGCAAACATTGCTCCAAAAAGGCCAGAATCAGAGGTTAGAGCAGATGTAACTTGAAAATTGAGAACTTTGAAGGATTCCTTCCTTGCTTGGCTACTGAAAGTCATCAAGACAAGATGCAAGCTGGAATTTGTTTTGAACTTCATCCAGATTACTTCTCTTCATAACCCTTGGCCTGATATCCTTTATAATAGATCAATAATTAATTCCTGATGTGTAGCAGGTCATCCTCCTAGGTTTACTGCCCTGAACATTTCCTGGAAATATGAAACAAATACAAAAACATAAAAAGTGATACCACTTTGCTTATGACGACATGTGCTTACTTTCCCAGAGTACCCCGTCCTTTAGGCTGCTCCTTCATCCATTTCCACAAGGGATGGGCACCATCTCCGTTGACCTCAATCTTGCTGAACATGTCAAACTTTACATTGTAGGATGCCGCAAAATCTTTAATTTGAGCTTCATCCCCAGGTTCCTTAAATCAGTTAAGAAAACATCATGTCAAAAAAATTCTACTTTGCAGAATGCTGCACAATCTTTAAAACTTCCAAACACCAAGAGTGGGGATTGTCAACTTCCTGTAAAGTAGCTTTTTTTTAAATTACATTAGCCATTTCAGAATGTTAGAGATATGCCTTTTAAAAGTTTTTTTTTTTTATCCTCTTCCCTAGCTACCTCACCTCCCTCCACTATTTCCAGCGACTACTAGCTAGTAATTGCCTTGTATTACACAGCAGAGACGGCTGTCAAAAAGCAGCTGCTTCTGTGTAAAAGGATACTTACAGTATACAAGGATCACTGAGTAAATACAATGAATCAGCATAATATGTCATTGTATTTACCATGTCGTTCTGTGTAGACTAAACTGGTCTACCCATGAATGAAATGGCTATTGCAGAATAATGCCAAAGAGCCCAGTGTTGACCCTTTCCTTTTCTAGAAGCATATGCCCCCTTGAGATGAGAAAGGAGGAGCAACAAAAACGTAGGAAGTGGTCACAGTAGTCTCTAGAAAGTGCCTCTCACAGGCTCAGCATCCATAGGACACATTGCAGGGCAGCCCGCCTCTTCCTCCAAGGCTATGCCGAGGCTCAGTCAATCCAGAAAGCTGCAACATAAGCCCCCACTGGCTCTGTAGCAAATTAAGAATCTTGGAGGAAAGGGAGGTGTTATCCATTCTTATAGGACACTACGAAAACAGGCATGACGAGAATGGAAGGGGTTGTACTAGTTGTTTGCAAGTGTCCAATCATCCGAAGATAGCAACATAACCCTTTGTGCCTCAATGTACAATTAAGAAATACTGGGGCTGTCATTTACCATCTCAGAACTGCTAGTTGTCTGGCTTCAATACTACAGAGTAATGACCAGGAACTAGCAAGCTATTAAGAGTATTTTTGTGGCAATAGTGAGTTAGCATGTGAATTTCGAACCAATCAGCAGGTGATTTGGCCTTTTATAGTTAGTCATTACAGTAAACTTTCACCTCCTTGTAAAATATTACTGCTTGCCCAGGCCCCAGGCCCCTCCCCCCATCACAACAATGAAAGACCATTAAAAACAAAATTTAAAAATTATTATTATATTACATATGCTGTGAGACACATTTATTAACGTAGTGGCACAACAATCACCATAGCGACCCAGGAGGCCGCTATGGGGCCCGGCCAGGACATCCCTGATGCCGTGCAGGCCGCCTGGGTCGCTATGGCATCTCATGCTGCTGGCTGTCTGGCCTTTTATAGTTAGTCATTACAGTAAACTTTCACCTCCTTGTAAAATATTACTGCTTGCCCAGGCCCCAGGCCCCTCCCCCCATCACAACAATGAAAGACCATTAAAAACAAAATTTAAAAATTATTATTATATTACATATGCTGTGAGACACATTTATTAACGTAGTGGCACAACAATCACCATAGCGACCCAGGAGGCCGCTATGGGGCCCGGCCAGGACATCCCTGATGCCGTGCAGGCCGCCTGGGTCGCTATGGCATCTCATGCTGCTGGCTGTCACTGGCGGCTGTGAAGAGGAACGCGCCGCTGTTCAGATCACGAACAGTGATCTGTGTAGTGGTGCGTTCCTCTCCACAGTCGCTGCCGAGTCAGTGAGAGCCAGCGGCGGCGGAGGAGGCTGGACCCTGCAGTGGAGTAGGAGGCGGGGCCCATCAGCAACCGTGGAGGAAGAGGAGGCGGACAGGTAAGGAGTGTGACCAGCCCATCTGAGACCCTGCAGAGTCCACCATAGAGAGTCTATAGTGAGCTCTGCAGGGTCACCCTCAGTTGGGCTGTGTGGGATCTCAAGTAGGCTCTGCAAGGGGCATAACTAGAAATCACAGGGCCCCATACAACATTTTGCTATAGGGCCCTGTGATTTCTAGTTACGCCCCCGACACATTTATTAACGTTTAGATGTCTCTGCAGCTGGCCTTTGCAAGCATCTCTCAATTTAAAAGTAGCAGGAAACTCTAGGTGTCCCTACTGAAAGACTAGGGACACTCAGCTTCCCCTCATTAGCATTCAATGCTTTAGACTAACCCAGTGTTAGGGCAGACAGGGTTAAAAAAAATCTAGTTCACAAAAGATACAATCTGCCAGCACAGTAGAGACAGGGTTAATTATGTTAACATTAACCCACCCACTTGCATTACAGAATTACAGAGTAAGAAATACAGTACAGAGAAAAGGGTTTCTTCCAAAATAGAGCACAATATGTAAGCAGCAATCTTAATACTTTAAGTGATGCTATGTGAAAGAACAAATAGAAGGGGGTTATCCCAATTTGTATGGAAATAAAATGGCTCTGAATTTGTTATCGCCTAAAGAAACATATCACGTGTAAAAACTAGACTGAACAAATTTTCTAAGGGCCATTCCAAGCAGCCAAGCCATTTTTAAAAAGTCTCTCTTGCAATGGACTGGTGGTAGTAGTTGCAGTTTATTAGCTGAGCAAAGTGCAATTTGCAGTTGGAAAAAAAAAAAAGGAGTAAAGTCCACTAGATGGGAGTGTCTTGATGTTCTGTTAAGTCATTCTTTCCATGTGCGCTCCTGCTCTTAGAGCATGAATACTTCAAGACAACACAGAGAACATGGGGGTGAATGGAAACTCAATCCAGCAATTTTGCGTTATGGAAATTCTGCTAGATTACTGGTTATTCACAATTTAGCTCAGATTAAGGAGAGGATACATGTGCGTGCGGAGATGGGGAGAGGCAGTGGCTCAAGCCCTGGACATCCGACAGGCATTTGGACCTTGCCAGGTCATCCAGCCCTGGTTGCAGTTATAGTTTTTCTACCATGTAACTTTGATAAACAGTGAGGTGATGGACTTCCTTACCCACCGGCTGTTTATGAATGCCGCTATAGAAAAGCCCTTAGATGGCCGTTATACCTGCTAATCGCCGGTCAACAGAGATCATTTGAAGAGCCAATTCCAAAAAGGTAATGTCAGGGCTGTTCGTTCAGTCTTAAAGTTTTTGTTGTAATGAAGAGGGAAACAGTTTTTGCAAAAAAATTTGATACAGAATTAATTTGGGTACAGGGTTGCATGACTGAGTAATTGACAAACTATCACAGCACTGAAAACTAAAAAAATGGCCTGGTAATTAAGCGCTAATACAAGTTGGTTCTCAAGTGGTAAAATAAAAAGGAGCAAAAACAAAAAATGACTACATGCAAACTGCAGTATCCCTTAGCAAACAGATTTAATTTTTGTCACCCATATTTGCTGCCTTATATGCCACACACTTAAAATGTCCATGCTTGCTATAAAATGATTGAAGACAAAAATGTGCATATTGTGTTCAACATACCTGCTTTCCAAACTGATTGCAGGGAAACCCGAGGATGTGTAAACCTTTCTCAGCATATCTGGCGTGCATTTCTGCAAGCTGAGTGTAGTTTACTGGTGTTTTTCCTCATTTAGATGCTACATTGACAATGATGCAGACAAAGCCCCTGTGGAGAAAAAAACAAAAACAGTTGTTCATTATTGTGAACAAACCCATGCATTGAAGCCCACGAAAACTTATTTTGAAAGGCCAAAACCACCCACACACAAAGTAGGAAGTACATTAACTAGCTTTTAGCATCATGGTAAATCAGACTCCGATGTCCTTGTTCCTCAGAACCTGGAATGAAACAGCCATGCCATTAAAAGCAATCTGTCCTTGGGACAGAAGATCATGACCATATAGCAGCTGAACACCTCTCAGGCGTCTCACCAGGTCAGTGTACCACATCCGCCTGGGACAGTCTAGAGCAGTGTTTTTCAACCTTTTTTGTGCAAAGGCACACTTTTTTCATGAAAAAAATCACGAGGCACACCACCATTAAAAAAATGTAAAATTAAAGAAATTAACGATTTATTGACGGCACACCCGAAAATATCTCACGGCACACTAGTGTGCCGCGGCACAGTGGTTGAAAAACGCTGGTCTAGAGCAATGAGGATCACCTGCATACTCACCATCTCCGGTGAAGCAGATGAGTGCAAGGAGTTTCATGGGAGGAAAGGCATAGATCAAGGTGTAGTGATCCCCCAGAGCATCCACTGCTTCCAGTAGAAGAGCCATGTACCTGGAGACGAACCTGTCCAGTATGTTGAACCTGGGGGCCAAGAGGTCCACATCTGACATCTTCTACCTGCAACCTAGCTCCTGGAGATCCTCCAGGTGAAGGAACCCAACCACCACCCCCTACCTGTAAGCAGCCACAATCGAATGCCGATATTGATTACCACCATACAGCTTGGGGAATTGAACAAAGACTGGAGGTGCACCAAAATGAAAATGTCAAAACCGAAACAAACAAAAAAAACCTGTCAGGTCGAAACCGAAAATGTTTAATTTTAACTTTTTCAAATTTTGTAAATAATGTGATTATTTTTTTAGAAAAACTTAAAATTGTTGTATTTGTATTCATTTTTTATTAAATATTTCCCTTTTAAAATAGAAAAAAAAGTGATAGAGGACTCTGTGTCCTCAATCTCTTTTTCTGCAGCGCCCAGTGGGGAGGAGAGAATAGGATGCATGCACCGCTGCATCGGCCAGAAAATGGCACTTCGGCATTACGCCAAAAGTGCAGGTTTCGGCCGATATATCAGTGCATCCCTAACAAATAACCTATATAGGGGTGATGGCTCAGTCAAGGACTAAAGCAACTCACAATCTGAGTCTCTGCAGCCTATGGCTGGGAAGCCACTTTGGGCACAGGCAAAGCAAATTGAATCTGTAGGAGGTCCTCCGGGAATTTGAAGACAATTACCATAATACAACAAAAACACCCTAAATAATGGGTGATGGATCTGAAACTATAAAAGCAAACAGCAATAATTCCTTCCTGCTGAGATCGGAAGGATGGAGCTGCAGAAAAACTTTCCGAGAACAACTAAGACGTTACCTGTATTTCTCCAGGGAAACGAAATTGCCAGCAATGTCAGTAGCAGAGAATTCATAAATGGTCTTCGCATTCTTCCAGTCACTCACCTCGGCACACTGCAAAAAAAAACTATTTTATTAAAGCTGAACTATAGGCATAAGACCTTATATTAGAAATTACCACAATGGATATTAATTATGCATTAGTATTCACCAAATGCCTTTGCAAACAAAGGGTGGATTAACCCTTTAATACAGGGGTTTCCCCAGTACTGCTGAAAGTGTTAACATCTGTGCTAAAGTAATGCGTGTTGTGAGTTTTACCACAATACAAGTTAAATAGATGTGCGCACCCTACCATTCAGCCAAATTGGCACATATACAGTAAAGATGCACATGTGCTATATACTCGGTGTTGTGGTGCACTGCATTGTAAAATAAGTGCAGCTGCATAAAAGTTTAAATAGGCCCTAAAGGAATCATGAGCCCATCTGTCAGAAAATTCTAAAGAGGACCTATACTCAAATGTTTATGCAAAGCCACCGAACAGTTTAGCTGGGGATAGATGAACAACAAGGCCAAAAGCCATACTGTGCTGGCCACATTTGTAAAGGCTCGTGGTTACACAAGTTCAGCCACTATTAACGCTGGTCCCTCACTAGCAGAAATTACATAACCAAATGTCTAGGCCGTCACATGACACACAGAGCAGCGTTTTCTCCAGCATGGAATGACTAGGAGGAGGATTACTCAGGCCAGAATACCTGAGTGAGGCCATCTTCCTCATATTATCCCATTAATCTAAAATCTCACTTAGCGCAAACATTTTCAGTCTCATCTAAGCATTACTGGCTAGGTGTGTCAACATCTCATCCACCCTCCCTCCCCAATGTTCTCCTGGGGAGATCAAAGAGGATGTAAAAGTATGGGATTACCAATAATGCCTTTCCTGTGATGGGCCTATAGTACCACCCTGAAGTAGGTCATTGGATATCTAGTAGGTTAATGTTAAACAATTATTTTCCTGCTAAAGACCTCCATGAATGCCATGGAGAGGGGAGTCACAAAATACATTTCGTTTTTCATAATGTGTGTCCACAAAATACAACGCACACAGTAATCTGTAAAACTGTAGCAGGTGGAACAAATTCAGTTATCAGCGTACAGCATGGACATAAATCCCCACAAGTCTTAGGGCTTGTGGACACCATTTCCGGGCTAGACCGGAGTGTTTTTTGTCCGCACCTGAAAGGCATCAGAATGTATTCCTATGGGATTTCTGGGCTCTGTTCATACTAGTGCAATCCGTTACAGTACCGAGGGCGAAAAATAAAATGCTGCAAGCACTATTTTTTCTGGTCTGGAATGCACCAAAAGGCAGGTTTGGCCCCAAACGCTCTGGGCCAAACCTGAAAGCCCATTTTAAGCTTAAAAAAAAAAAAAAAAAAAAGAAGTGCACTGGAACGCATGAAAGCACACTGCACATGCAGAAATGCATCCAGATCTGGTCTAGGCATGGTGTGAACAACCCCTCAAGGGGGGAAATAGTACAAGTAGGATTTGTTGACCCTGGCTGTTTACAACTGCAGTTCTAATCTACTTCTGCAGAGTGAAAATCTGCATACTCTACCCTCCACATAGCTCTTCCAACTACAGCAAGATCTGCTTGATGTGAAATGCCAACATAGTACCTTGCTCCTATGGGCACAGGTTTTGTGCAGATTAAAAGAAAGTATCTCAGGCCAAGTGAAGATTTACAAGTCTATTTGAATAGACTATACAGCAACAGTAGAAGTTTCCAGTTGCACCTTCATCTGCAGTGATGTGATGGACCAGGCATGATAGATCTGGGAGAGGTTGTCAGGCTGCTACAGGCAATGCTCCCATCTGCCCAGTCCTGACTCAAACTGTAGAATGTAATAAGGTGTGAGGTTGCAGCAAGGTGGTTGAGTTTTGAAGAACATATTGCCTGCTGTAGCTGTGTAGATTGATATGATGTAGTCAATACCATCTGTAGTCCAGTCAGTAGGGCTGCAACAACTAATCGACATAATCAATTCTTGAAAAAGTTGTCAACTTTTTCAATCATCGATTAATCGGATTTTGATTAGTTGCCCCTGTCCACATGCTATAGAGGGCTACAACAAATCCCAGCAATAATACATTATACAGTTGTGTAATGCCGACCACCAGCGATAGAGGAATACAAAACCCAGCAATAGCACATTATACAGCGCAATGCAGAATACCACCAGCTATAATGTACTATTGCTGGGTTTTGGAGTCCTCTATAGCCGATGCCATTCTGCATTCATTGCTGTATAATTGTACACTTTTAATTTCACTATATTACATACCACACTTTTTTTTTTTTTTTTTTACTTCCACCGCTCCAAGCTTGCTCCTGTGATGGACTACAATCGCAATACAAACTAGCAGTCCCATCACTGGAGCCATTTTTAATTTTTTTTTTTATCCGATTAATCGAACTTAATAAAATCGGCTAATTGATTTTTGAAAATAATCGTTAGCTGCAGCTCTACCAGTCAGTTTAATCAGTTAACTGCCAGCGCAATTTTGTTTAACACTTCAGCTACGGGCCTATTGCATCAGTAATAACTATTGCTACAGAAGATAAAACCTTTTTGTTGCAATATAAACCACGCTCTCATTTGATGGCATGGTCTTCAAGAGTTACTTAAAGATCAAATTCCAGCAATTTGTACCCATATCCCAAGTCTTGGGCTTCATTCATCTAAAAATAAATACACACCATACACCTATCCCCTCACATGTGACCAGTGATTACTTTTAAATCAAATTGTGCTTCTATGGACAAAGTGCCAATTAAAACCTGAAGTTTGTTCCTTTTTCAGGATGTTAACATATGGTAACAATAAACAAAAAAAAAAAAAAAAAAAAAAAAAATACAAAAAAAAAAAAAAAAAAAAAAAAAAAAAACATTCATATTGCAGATTAGTAGGTTAAAGAAAATTGTATAGTTGAAGTGATAAATTGTAAATACAAAGGGCAGTTGCCAGTTTTTAAAGAATAACTTTACCCTCTTGGACTTCCAAGATGGCTGGTGGTTGCATCATGAAGAAGAGCCGAGATGCACAGGATGACACTTCAGTAACCAAGTAAGGCAGCCATGCATGCACAGTAATATACACCATATCCCCTACCCATCCACAGTATTATATAGCCATATGTATCCTATGCATACACATTGTAGATGGTGGATGCATGGGATGAAGTTCTACATGAAGAAAAGCCTAAAATAAAGTGAGGGCAAATTCTCTGCAAAAGATATCCGAATGCATGCAAGGCCTCATGTATTGGTAAACATGTGTAAAGCAAGGAAATGACCATTGTTAAGGAAATTGTAACACTGATTGTTGCATATACTAAAGTACCTCTGCTCTCAGGTGTATACAGTGATACCTGGGTTTACAAGCATAATTCATTCTTTCCCCATAGGAATATTCATATAAAAATTCCACGTAGGTAGTTGTCATCCCATTTGGATTTTAAGGGTATATGTGATCACATTTCATTTTTTCAGTACTTTTATTTTGGTGAGGTTATGACATCATCACAATGTCACCTGGGGTTGGGGGATTGTGGCTTATATGGCTTACTTTCTGCTATATTGTTCCCGAGAAATAGGACCCTGTAAGGCCCAGAACTGTTGGCCACTTTAACCTATGTGACGTCACATGTTTTAAAAATGCATTTCTGGAATGCTGGTAACTTGAGAAAACAATTGCTTATCTGTGTGTACATAAGTCTAGATTTAACATGTTCCCACTGTAAGCACTTTATTTTCAGCTCACCCACACAGAGAGGAAGCTGCAAAACACAAAATAGTGTGCCAAGAAGTTCAATCCCAACCAGCAGCACTCGCAGAAAGCCAACAACAGTGATCACACAGGCTAAGGGCCCATTCACACCACATTCAGATCATCTCTAGACCAGATTGTTTCCTTACCCAAAATGTATCCCTATGCTTTTTCTGGCCTCTGTACACACCAGGGCAGTCCGTTCCAGAACAGAAAAATCCTGCTCGTCTTATTTAGTCTGATCTGGAATGCACTGGACCGCATAGAAACACATAAAAATGCATAAAGGGCCCATTCACACCATGTCCGGATCAGATGAGGTACGTTACATTTTTATTCTGCACCAAAAATGCATTTGTATGTTATTTTTGGGCTCTGTTCACACCAGTCCAGGAAAAAAAATGCTGCATGTCACGTGTTTCCTGCACCAGAACACGTCACAAACACACAGCATCAGAACGCAACAGAAGCTATGACATGCAGCAGGTAGAGATTTGCATAATGACATTGGTACGTTACATTTTTATTCTGCACCAAAAATGCATTTGTATGTTATTTTTGGGCTCTGTTCACACCAGTCCAGGAAAAAAAATGCTGCATGTCACGTGTTTCCTGCACCAGAACACGTCACAAATCACATCAGAACGCAACAGAAGCTATGACATGCAGCAGGTAGAGATTTGCATAATGACATGCCCCCACCCAAAAAAATGCACTGGAACGCGTCACAAACACATCACGTTTGCAGAAACGAGTGCAGATCTGGAACGGACATGGTGTGACAGGGCCCACAAACACGCTGGAACGCACCTGCAAGACCATTTTAAGCAAAAATAAAATTTCCAAACGTGGCAAAATCGCGGCAAAACGCAATGCACTTTGCTCCAGATCTGGTCTGGAAAATTGTGTTAACCTGCCCTAAAGCTGGACATACACTGCTAGAATTTTGTCCGATTTCTGTGAAATTCAGTGGGGGGCCCTAATAGCTACACCAGGGGTGCACAAAACTCCGGCACTCTAGCTGAAACGTAAAATCCCATAATGCATCTGTCTCTGGCAGTCATGCCTGTAAGAATCTTGCAATAACTTATGGGATTTGTAGTTCGACAACAGCTGGGAGGGTCAGAGTTTGCAAAATGTGTGTTGTTTCCCCAGAGGGTCCCCGTGGTATAAATGAGAATATCCAGGTATGATCACATCTAATGCGTTTTTAAACTTGGGTCAGAGTTTGCCCACCCCCGGGCTACACAAAAGTCTTTCACTCAATTGACTTCTTGTCAAATTGTCAGCCCAACAGTGACTGCAGTGGAGATTTAGCATGGATGGAGGAAATCTGTTCAAATTTCTTTTGGGTCAGCCTGCAGATCTATAAGTGCAAGGCCAGCTTGAAATATTTGCATAGGATCTTTGTAGGGAACACAGTGGCAGAGGTGAATGTAAAGCCATTATTGGCAAGGCTGGGAAAGTGGTTTATAGAACCTCAGCCATGTTTTGATTGCCCAGTGGTGACCATTGTCTCTGGGTAGGAGATCATAAGGAAAAAAACCAAAATATTTGAGTTGGCACTGAAACAGGAATAGAGGAAAGATCTGCAGGTTCCTTTCACCAGCGATGGGAGGTGTAGGCCTTAGATTCCCATACACATTGCAATCTGACCATACAATCTTCTTTAGTTTTATCCAATATGAGAACCTACCTAACCAATCAGGCACTACATACTAGTTAATAGAGCTGAAGGAGATTGTACAATCCGATTGCAACATATGTGGTGAGCTTTAGTAAGCTTAGCTCTTAAAAGCAGAATTCCAGGGAAATGTTTTCTTAAGCCTAGCAGTGGGCTACACCACACTGCAAGGGTTAAGGGCTCGTTTTGGTCTACGGCTGAAAATTATACTCACCCGATCCTCAGACGGCTGGCTGTGACCAGGGCCGGATTCCCAACAAGGCCACCGAGGCCTGGCCTCAGCACGGAGCAGCACAGGTTGGAAGTCACCCGACGCAGCACAGTGCTGTGCTAGAACTCCTGTATTGAAGGTGACAGGTTCAATAGAGAGAAATTGCAGAAACTGGCCTTGGGGCCGCAAGGAGAGTAAATCCGGTTCTGGCTGTGACACCACTAACCCCAGCCTGTCTCTTATTCTGCAGCAATAGTATATCCCTCGGTCTCCTCACATCCAACACACCATGTATTGGATGCGATGATGCGCAGGACGGTAGACTGGTGCAGAGGCGGGGGGGAAAGAGAGGCTCCAGGGAGCAGCCCAAGGCTGGCCTTACACTGCTCTATTTTTCTCGTTCAACCCACAGGCTGAATAATAATAATAATAATAATAATAA